GTTGAGAACGATTTCGGACATTTAAATTTAAAAATTGAGATCTTGACGATTGTTTTCAGAAGCGACATACCCCGAGCCAGAGATACATCAGACACTCAGAAATTTACAGCTTTTGGCGGCTTGCCCCGACGCTGTCAGAGAGAAAGAGGTTTTTGATCTCCTAGGGGAACTCTCGACTCTTTCTGACCATTAAGTAGTCGTCCAGACATGTTTAAATCACGTTTTGTTCGATCATGAACGTACGAACCCATCCTTGTTTATGCGTTTTTATTCAATGTCCCCTGACACAGAATCGCGTAATTAATACGCCACGTTTCATTACGAAAGAATGATTATTACTGTTTCACCCATGTAATTATCAAATAACAAACGCAACGAATTCGTAATGCATTCGTTAAGAGTGGCGTCGCGTTAATTTAATTGTTCCTCCTACGCTTTTTTTTTTTCTGTAAATACTGTTACGAGCGTGATTCGTTATTACTCTATATTCATTACTGTTATTTCATTAGCACTGTAACAAGACACCGACGTTACGGATGTAGAATCTGAAACCCATTCGAAACAACATATTTCCCAGCAAAAACGTGAAATTTGGATTGAAATTTTATTTCGAACCGATTCAAACGGACATTTCGAAGAATTTTCTTGCCGTTTTAAAAAAAACGTCAACATTCACGTTGGATCGTATCTGATAATAATACGCGAGAGGACGATGTTACGTTTCAATTTTCTAATTAATTGTAAACAGTGATAAATAATACATCACGTATTAATCATCTTTATTGGACGACTATCCAGAACCACAAAGTCGCTGTTAAGACGTAACCGCAGTGTTAAATGATGAAGAAATTTTTTAAGTTCCTTGCGATCTATAATTAAGAATTCATCTACGATAGCCACGAATAAATAAACTTTTCTTTCCACTCTGTACAACACGGACAATACAGAGATAGCGATCCAGTTTGTCCTAGCAAATAATTGACCTTAATACGAGAGGTATATCTCCAGGGAGAGGGCGGCAGCAACGAAGTTTCGCCCTGAAGGCATGGTCAACGCATCGTTTCGAGTTCGATTGGGAAACGATTACGTACAAGACTCGTGCAAAGTCGAAAAGTACGAAGTAAACTTAGCGCATCGGAACTTGCATCAAATCGGATTTCGTGAATGGGCCAAAGAGTTTTCCTTCCCCGGCGAGGTGAATCTAATTTAATGACCGTCTTACAATGGGGCAACGTCGAGATATATACGTCGTATAGAGAATTTCTATTTCTGAAGTCGACTACGCGTTTATATATCACAGAACATGCCACCCGATGTGGCAAAATTAAAGAAATCGTAAAGAGATGTTGTATAACAGCGGTTCGCTAAATGATATATATTTAGAGAAATTTCTGTAAATATTCTGTAAAGTATGATAAATTTCGAAATTTTTTAAAAATTATAAAAGGAAATATTTATAATATAAATATAAAATATATAAAAGATAAATATTTATAATATAAATATAAAATATATAAAGGATAAATATTTATAATATAAATATAAAATATATAAAAGATAAATATTTATAATATAAATATAAAATATATAAAATATTTATAATATAAATATAAAATATATAAAATATTTATAATATAAATATAATATAAAATATTTGTAATATAAATATTCTGCCAAATATAAATTTCAAAATTTTTAAAAAATTATAAAAAATTATATTATGAAAAATATAAAATAATTATAATATAAATATTCTGTCAGATATAATAAATTTTAAATTTTTAAAAAGTTATAAAAAATATAAAATATAATATAAATATAATATAAAATATTTGTAATATAAATATTCTGCCAAATATAAATTTCAAAATTTTTAAAAAATTATAAAAAATTATATTATGAAAAATATAAAATAATTATAATATAAATATTCTGTCAAATATAATAAATTTTAAAATTTATAAAAAGTTATAAAAAATATAAAATATAATATAAATATAATACAAAATATTTACAATATAAATATTCTGTCAAATATAATAAATTTCAAAATTTTTAAAAAATTATAAAAAGTATAAAATATTTATAATATAAATATAATATAAAATGTTTATAATATAAATATAATATAAAATATTTATAATATAAATATTCTGTCAAATATAATAAATTTCAAAATTTTTAAAAAATTATATTATAAAAAATATAAAATATTCATATAATAATATGAATATAAATTATAAAATAAATATTATAAAAAATTTCAAAATTTTGTGACAAACCAATTAAAAATTGTGCATACATAAAAGTTGTTTAAGTATATGGTCTTTAATATATAGCATCATAACTGTTCAAGATAATTCCATTGAATATTAATGTCTATTATATATTTATGCTTATATCGAATACAATGCAATTTCTTATATGGAATGTCAATTTGTTTTAAATTTTATGTTAATGGAAGAATGTGTTTTATATCACGTATATATAAACGTGTTTAAGTCAAAGTGTAATTGTTCGAATACCAAAAATATCAACAGATAGATACCCAAGGTAATTCGAAAATTTCGGGATCTCTGGATTTCCCACGAGATTCCCCACGAATTTCTAATTTCTTAAGAACTTTGGCTTTTCCAGAACATTTCGATCATCTCAAGATATTTCAGATCCTCCGAAAATTTCAAGAATCTTTCCAAAACTTCTAGCTACTCCAGAACTTTGACTTTCCTCCCCCAAGATGTTTCGCTCTTTGGAAAAATTTCGCGTATCTCCGAGATACTTCAGGGCGAATGAACTGTGCGTCGCGAAAAGTCGGGGTAATGGTTTTTCGAACGATCGTGCCCGATGGTTTATCTGGAGTATAAGGATCGCGTGGCACGAATCCCACGGCAAACCGACGGCAAACGTTAAACGAGGGGGTGTGGGTTACAACTCTCGTTCGACTCAGCCGAATCGCGATCAAATACACGCCGTCCGCAAAGGCGTCCTCCGGTTCAAAGGGACGATTTCCCTCGCCGTAACCTCCGTGGAATCTCTGCGGTTGACGAGACCGGAACCCGATGACACGAACATCCCCTAGGAAGACGCGTTAATTAATCGGTGTAATTGAATATTGTTCGCCGCAATCCGCCAGCGTGTTACCTCCACCGGTGTTTCACTGCTCGTCCTACGGTGGCTAATTGCGTGTGCGATCTCGGGCGAGTGCCTGTTTGTTTTCGTCGATGAAAGGAAATATCGAAGGAGAATTAAACAAAAAAAATTCAAGTTCAAGTGATCAAGCAGTGAACTTATGTTTGAGAAAATGAGAAGAGATTAAACGCGGTACTACGAATTTTGTGGTTTTTAGTTTGGAAGAACTTACATTGGGCAGTTGTTGAAACTACCAAGTTATAGTTTCATTCTAAACTTGTTTGTTCGCTATGTTATTACATATCCATACTGCTCGGTGTTAAATAAATTATTATTTAGTATAATATAATTATAATATAATACTAATATAATTCTAATATAACAATTATTATCTAGCCAGTATTAAATAAATCAAAAGCAAGAAATAAAATAATTATAATATAATATTATTATAAAAGCAAGAAAGCAATTATAATTATAACAATATTATAATAATTAATAAATAAAATAATTATAATATAACATAATTATCATATCTAGCTAGTATTAAATAAATCAAAAGCAGAAGCAAGAAATAAAATAATTATAGTACAATATTATTATAAAAGCAAGAAAGCAATTGTAATTATAATAATTAATAAATAAAATAATTATAATATAGTATTATTATAATTATAATATAATATTATTATAATTATAATATAACATAATTATCATATCTAGCCAGTATTAAATAAATCAAATAAATATAATAATTATTAAATAAATCAAAAGCAGAAGCAAGAAATAAAATAATTATAGTACAATATTATTGTAAAAGCAAGAAAGCAATTATAATTATAATAATTAATAAATAAAATAATTATAGTATTATTATAATTATAATATAACATAATTATCATATCTAGCCAGTATTAAATAAATCAAAAGCAAGAAATAAAATAATTATAATATAATATTATAAAAGCAAGAAAGCAATTATAATTATAACAATATTATAATAATTAATAAATAAAATAATTATAATATAACATAATTATCATATCCAGCCAGTATTAAATAAATCAAAAGCAGAAGCAAGAAATAAAATAATTGTAATATAATATTATTATAAAAGCAAGAAAGCAATTACAATCATAACAATATTATAATAATTAATAAATAAAATAATTATAATATAGTATTATTATAATTATAACATAATATAATTATCATATCTAGCCAGTGTTAAATAAATCGAAAGCAGAAGCAATAAATAAAATAAGAAGCCGCTTAATGCAAAGGTGGTGCGAGTGATTTGGTTTCTCTCGCGAATTTTGGTTTCACGCGATGTCGATGACGAATAATTTCGTTCGAGAAACGAAGCCAACGTAATTCATTTGTGTATATATATATATATATATATAAATCGTATGGACAATCTAAACTTGCGTGAACGTTGTCGCAAGACAAACAAAAATCGAAAGAAAAAGAAAATCCAGGGGAAAGAGACGAGTCGAGATCGTCAAGCTCAATTAGCACAAACGAGTGAGAAACCATCTATCAATGAGGGAGAAAGGGCCGGGGGGGAAGTTCCGTGTAATCCTCGACAATGCGAACCGGCTTAAATCGTCTAATTTACAAGCCCGAGTAATTACCGCGATTTTCCATCGCCCTCCTCCTGGGTTGGGACATTCCAATGGCGATATTTCAACGCGATTCGTATATCGCGCGAGATATCTTTCAACCCCTTCCACCCCGATCCACCCCATTCTTTTTTCCAGAATCCGCTATCCGAGGACAAGAAATACACGTCGACACGCTGCGTCTGACGTGAATTTATTCTGCCGGAAAGCTGATGCGCACGATAACGGGGGCAGCTGGTGAACGAATTGGCGGAATTCACTTTTCGAGTGAAGCGCGGCACGTTCCGCGGTGGTTAAAATCGGCGAGAGGTTCGTTTGCATCGAATGGAAATTAAAGGCGTTACATATTCATGCGGCTGTTCGCTGCTTCTCCGGCAAATACGCGGAGGATTTCCTTTCTTTTTTTTTTTTTTTTTTTCGCCCGATACGTACGTGTAACTCCTTTTTTTTTCGAGCAAGAATCTTGCCGCCTTCGGCTTTTAGCAGATCCCTCTCGTAGAGCGGACCGGTTTCTAATTGAAGACTACAGGGAAATCTTTCGAACGTAGAACTGTGTCCCCGTTCGAAATTTTTCTCCGTCTATCTATCTGCCGATTTAAAATCGATTCAGTTTGTTCTTGATCTGGAAACGAGCAGAATATCAAAGTCAAAGGAATTCGCGGTTTGAGATTTGTGATGCTATTGCTTGTTGCCTGTCTCCCGAAGTTTTACGATATTATTATTCTTTCGTGGCGGTAGTCGTAAGAAAGTTTGAATGGCAACTGAGACAATTCGTCGTTTCTGTTGTAGTTTTATCAATACTTGGTATATTTTTTAATACTCGTTATATTTGTTACTTATATTTCTTCAATACCTATTATATTTGATACTTATATTTTTTTAAACACTTATTTGATACTTATATATTTTTTAATATTTATTATATTTGATACTTATATATTTTTTAATATTTATTATATTTGATACTTATATATTTTTTAATATTTATTATATTTGATACTTATATATTTTTTAATATTTATTATATTTGATACTTATATATTTTTTAATATTTATTATATTTGATACTTATATATTTTTTAATATTTATTATATTTGATACTTATATTATTCTTAATACTTATATATTTTTTAGTACTTATTATATACATATTATTATATTTAGTGTATTTTTCAATACTTAGTCCATGGAATGTCCGCAGTAACTATCATACGCCGTACATTCGTTATTTTTTCTCTTTCATATTGTAATGTATTTCACGAATATTTTTTTTTCTGACACGTTTTTTTTATCTTCCCTTGATAACATTTATAAGCAGAGGCACGATCACGAAGTCAAAAGCATTTCCAAAGAATTTACATGAAGGAAATTTGAAATTCTAATATGACACGACAGAGAAAATCCAGGAGATGTCGGCAAAATAAGGAATCCAGAGACCGATTCGCAATCTAGAGTTGATAACGTTCTTGTCAACGTAAAACAGCAGAAACAGCGAGGAAAGCGACACGTAAAGTGACAAAAATAAATTTAAAAGATTCGGAAAGAACAAGAGAAAGCACAATCGATCAAAGACAACAGAGAATTTTTCGGGCAAGCAGTCGGAAAAGTAATCAAAATTCAAAAGCTGATCTCTGATGCCGGTTGATTCCAGTAGCCAGGAAGCTACGTTGAAACGTTTTCATCTCCGTCGTATGCAACGAATACCACATGCACGAATAGTATGCACGTACCACGAGCACGAGTGGTCGAAAAGGCAATATTATTCCGTGAAAAACGTCGCGGATAACAAAATACCGACCCGTCCGACTGAAAATCCAGCCTGCTGGCGCACCGTCTCTATACGCGATCCTCGGGACCAGTTGTATTTTATCTTCGCCGCTGGAAAATGCTCCGTTTTCCAAGACACAGCCGAGCGTGCGGCCAATGTGAAAGAATAATACGAATTTGCCTGGTGTCCACCTCCTTTCTATCCCGTTGAATCTGATCTCGCGCTAGAATGCACTCTAAACTCGCTTCAAAAGCTTAACAGCCCAGCTTAACTCTTTCCCCTTTGATAACCTCATCGGTGACGCACGGAAGTTTCGTGAGAACTTGGCGCGAGAGATTTGAAAAAAAAGTATAATAAAAGGCGAATGTACTTACGGATTTTCTCTTTTTCTTTCGCATGTGTGTGTACATGCGTGTAAATCCAGAGGAAGAAGTTATAAAAATATTTTAAATATCACGTAAACTCGCAATGTCTGTTTCGTGGTATCATTTTCTTCCATAAGTAATTGCGCCTTGTCTTAAAATGGGAAAACACAGATTCCAGTGTAAAATCGTGCAAAATCAAACGAATAAATTAAACTAATGATTTCATAAAAAATTAAAGTTGAAATATTTCTCAAATCAATCAATTCTCGATACTTTTTTTACACTGAATGAGAGAAGAAACTTTCGATTCACGAACGTATAATACGTATAATTTCTAACTACACGTGTGTACGCATCACTGTGCTACAAATAAAAGTATAGGCGAAGAAAATGTAATCCTCCTTTAACCACATTCGTCTATTCCCTCCGATATTTTCTTTTCAACCGCCAGAAAAAGAGAGAAAGAGAGAGAGAGAGAGAGAGAGGCATTTTTCTTCTTCAGCGAGCGACGAAGAAAAGAAACGAGAAAATAAATATCCTCCCCGCGATCTCCATCGAATTCGAATCTCTTGGATCGCCAAGTTTCGCCGCGCGATTATATATTTAAATTTCAAGGATGCTGGCTGTCGAGCTGCTTACAGAGGCGATAGATACCACTCGATCGATCTCATAATCGCTTGGTAATCCGTTATCGATGGTAATCGATCGATAAACGGCGTACCGATCCTCGAAAGCGAGGATGATCTCGTCAGCGTTCACCAGCCGAGCTAACGAGCGTATTTTAGCTTAACGAATAGGTGTACCGGTGTAGATAGCGACGAAGAACCAGGAGCCACGTGGCGTCAAAGTGATTAATTAAACAGTTTGACGCTGGGAACGCGCGAGAGGCAATTTTCGAGAGGCACTTTTGTTCACGTATGCACTGTGGAATATTCGGCCGATCGAGCTCTGGCCGACGATTTCTCTTTTCTTATACTTCGCCGTATAGTTTCTCATTATAATTTAATCAGAGAAAGTTGTCAAGTCTTAGTTAGAAAATTGGCTGCAAAATTTACTTCACATTTGTATAATATTTTTGGCGTACAGTGGAAACCGTGTGATCGAAATTTTGTGCACCTGATGATTTCTGATTTCGTAAGAGTGCGGAAATCTTTTTTTGAACATTGATGTCCGACCAAAACGAATTCATAATGTATGACAGACAATGTTAACAACGTACGAACTGTGAATTTTTATACAAAATTTGCATCTTTTTACAAATACTCGAATATTTCTAAGTTTTGTAAATATACAAATGATTTTTTTTTTTTTTTCATTGGAGTTTGACTTTATTCACAGTATTGTCAAATTAACAATTTTCAGCTATTAATTTAGGTTTGAAGAAATAATTAAGTCACGTGTAATCCTATTACGTATAGTACGTCCTGATGGAATCTAATAATCTAATAACTTTTCTGAAAAAATTACTTCATCGTAAGAAACAAAAAAGAGGAGAGATATTTATCTACCATAAAATTTTGCATCTCCAGTTTGTCGAATCTTCAGTATGTAGCCAGATAAAAAGTTATGTTGATTGACATTTTGATGTTAAAGTCGCTAATCACGCATTAAGCGCAATGCCATTTTTTCTTTTTTTTTTTTTTTCGGAATATTTATAACGAACTGAATACGAGAGAATATACGGCAACAGCGCGGGACTTTCAAATCCGATTACGCCATTTAATTGCATCAGACTAATTATCGTGGTCTTAACAATGTTGCTTTCGTAATTCAGGAGGAACACACGCGTGTGGATTAATCGCACGAGTATATTAGTCACGTGTAGCAATAACTCTCCGGCAAAATGCTCCACCGATGACATTACGCCGAGTAATTACATACGAACCAACTCTATTGTTCTCCTTTCTATTCCAATTTTCTCTCTTCCCGTTTCGGCGAAACATATTTGCTCCGATTGCGAACGGCGCTTTATTAACAACGTTAACTATTTTGCCACAATTAGAGAATGTAGCTAACAAAATCCGCGTGTTTCGAATATTCCACTGATCCAATAGAAGCTAATAATTTTGTACACTGCTTTTGGAATTTGCTTCACTCGAATTTGGAAATAAATTTCTCGACGAGAGAATGGAATAATCATTCAAGCAGTAAAGAAAGTTTCGATACCTTGTCGTAAAATATCCATTCTTGACTTGTCTGAATGCGCGAAGCCGTTTTAAAAATAAAATTGAAACGAAATTCAGACGTTTCGAAACGTGAATCTGCACGCTAGAAAATTATGGCACGTATTCAGAATTTACGTGGAAATTTCTCGATTAAATTTCATACTTTAAGCAACGTTTGCCTACTATTCGTGAGAGGTAGAAAAGTGAAAAGAACTACTGAACACATTTCTTGCTGCTTGAGTATCTTCCATAATAAAAATAGAATAGTTAATTTGCAACGAGGCGAGGGTGTAAAAGAAAAAAAAAAAAAAAAAAAGAACGCAAGTGCACCTCCTTCTATACGGCTCAATTTGGAAGGAAGAATTGTTCCTAGCCGAATTAACGAAGGGAGGGCAATAAAACTTATATATGGCTTCTCCAGTTAATTGTGCACGCGCGTAGGCCAATTAGTCGGGGGTGATCTATATTTAATTGAATTCGAATGCTGATAGTGTTAACAGGATGTCGGCTAATTAAGTGAAACAAAATAACGCGACCTTAATTGTTCAAAAAGCTGTTAAACAGCGAATCTTGTTGTTCTATTATTTCCACATCACTTTCTCCAATGTTCGAACATTTCCAATCCTGACGTTCAAAGTTCAATAACACGATGAAAAATAATCGCACAGCTAGTTTCGAGGGAGACTTCAATCTTTAAGACCATGGTGAATTTACCGGCTAGTTTACAGAAAAATTTTTTCAGTGTCAATTTTCGAAAAGAAAACCCACTGTGTAGTATAAAAGAAAAAAATCTTTGAGAAAAACGAACTGAACTCTGCCATAGTGTAGGCTTTATGCTTGAAAGTGAGCCCGGTTAGAGCACTGTACGTTTCGTCTTCACGAAGTTATAACAATTTAAGATATTATTTCAAGTCAAGTCGTCTTAAATCATAGACCAAAATTTCATTAGTCGATTTTAACTATTGTGAAATGACACAGTCCGTACGATATGTTTTTCATTTTTCTTTTTT